TATGAACACAATTGAACACTTGCTGACTGCCTTGGCAGGGCTGAAAATGTTTGAATCTGCTTACTGTGCGCGTAAGTCCATTTGGCATGTCTTGACATGTCTTGACACATGTTCTCATGTAATCTCATGTAAAACCATCCTTGTTGCCATAGATGTTGCCATATTGGTTGACATAGGTTGACACTTGTTCAAATCTGTTCAAATATGATCACATATCTGCAAACGAAACATGGACTTCTTCGACTACATTTGATATAATTTTATTACATTTGCAACGTATTGAGATGTCACAGGATTTCACGAGGATGCCTAGCCATGCCCATACCCAGGGAACTAAAATCAAAATAAATCAGAGAAGGTCAACCGCGCACGGGTTGCGCAATAATGATCAATAATGTGCTATACAAAGAACCGCTGCTACTGCATGCTACTGCTCATGATCCAAAACGCATCAAAGCTCCCAACGGCCAATCAATGACTGGATCAATCGATGGTCATCGCCAAAAGGCCTTTCTGAGCAGCCTGCAAAACAACAGAAAAACATCAGAAAACAACTGCAGCCAGCAGTAAAAAATGTTCTTGGTATGGTTTGGCAATGCTTGACAACAAAAGTCAAGACTCAAGATTCTATCTCCAATATTCTCCAATCTTCTCCATATTGTATTCATGATTATACATGTACTTCTAACAAATCTTCTAACGTACCCCTATCGCACCTCTAACATCCTTCTGCCATGCCTCTTAAGTTCCTTTGGCCCATTTGACCCATGGCGTGGCTTCATAATGCTTGATAATGCTTCATATTGCAGGGGTTTACTGTAGAGCTACGATGCAGGTGCTGGCAGAGCTACGGTAAAGGTACGGTAGAGGTACGATAGAGAAGGAAAACTCTACCGTACCTCTACCGCACCTCTACCGTTATGCATGATTTTACATGTACTTCTAACGTAGCCCTATCGCATCTCTAACATCCTTCTGCCATGCCTCTTAGGTTCCTTTGGCCCATTTGGCCCATGGCGTTGCTTCATAATGCTTGATAATGCATGATAATGCTTCACATTTCACTGTTCGCAATTTGGGGTGTAGATTCGTTAGGTTTAGATCCGCATAGATCCGCTACCTTTCAAATCTCAAAAAATCCCAAAAAATCCCAGAAGTTCATGTCTGATATCACGATATATCACCAAGAGGCAGTAATGAGGCAAAAGAAAAATGCAGGCATGAACGGTTCTTTCCTATGAAAGCAGTGCGATTTTTTTGGGGACAAGCCGTTGATTGAAACAATGGCAACCAATCTAATGACAAGTGATCCCTGTCAGTTGAAACTGACGATTGAGGGTTCTGAACGATTCTGAACGTAGTAGCAGGCATGACCTTGGCTCAATTGACATTGACCTTAAGCCCATGCAACAATAGACACTGGCAACAGCAATGCCAAGTAATGACAACTTTCGCACTTGTATATGCGAGATTGTGCAAGCACATCACTTCTTTTAGACGCTTGTTGGCCCATTGTGAGACATTTTGCATTTTGAGCAACTTTGAACAATTTTGAGCAAATTTGAGCAACTTTGAACAATTTTGAGCAAATTTGAGCAACTTTGAACAATTTTGAGCATTTTTTAGCAATTTTAGGCAGTTTTTTCGGGCCTGTTTGGGTCATCTTGGAAAAAGTGAGCATTTTTGTCGGGCAAGTGTCGGTCATGTCGAGCAATTCTGAACAATTTTTGGAAGCACGATATGGCATTGTTGACCATGGACAATGTTCAAAATGTCTCAAATGAGGCTGCTTTGAGACATCTTACTTTGGCTGAAAAAGGTAGCTGATTACCCCACGGATCTAGACCCTAAAACATCCTACAACGAGATCAGTGAATATTGCAGGGGTATACTGTAGAGCTACGATGCATGTGCCGTACCTCCGTACCTCTACTGTACCTCCCCCCTGCTTCTGCAATATTCTTCAATCTTCTCCATATTGTATACATGACTATACATGTACTTCTAACAAATCCTCTAACGTACCCCTATCGCACCTCTAACATCCTTCTGCCATGCCTCTTAAGTTCCTTTTGCCCATTTGGCCCATGGCGTGGCTTCATAATGCTTGATAATGCTTCATATTGCAGGGGTATACTGTAGAGCTACGATGCAGGTGCTGGCAGAGCTACGGTAAAGGTACGGTAGAGGTACGGTAGAGAAGGAAAACTCTACCGTACCTCTACCGTACCTCTACCGCACCTCTACCGTTATGCATGATTTTACATGTACTTCTAACGTAGCCCTATCGCATCTCTAACATCCTTCTGCCATGCCTCTTAGGTTCTTCTACCATACCTCCACTGTACCTCTGTCTATCGTACCTCTGTGACCCTCTATGTACGCATGTTCCCTATGGAAATGGCAATTTGGGGGGCTTACACCATTGTCATCCAATGTCATCCATTTTCAAACAAACCAATGTGCATGTGCTGAAGGTCATTTTGGGATGGTTTCCCCAAGTTGGTTTTTCTGCAGGCCTTTCTTCAGGGCAACCAACAAGGACTCCATCTTCTCGCTGCCCAACATGGAATTTGCCACCAGAATATCCATGAATATCCTACTGGGAGGATCTGGTAGCGATCTATCGTTCTACCAACCCGAGGACATGGAAGCATAGGGAGACATAGCGAGATGGGGTCATGGTGGAATGGGATTGCTGGGAATGGCATTGGATTGCCAGCACCAACTTTCCACCATAGATTTTAAAGCATTTTAAAGCTAAGTGAAATGCAAAATGCTTCACATTGAAATTCACCGTTAAGTGATGATTTGTCATGATTCGTCGAAGTCCATTAATGACCATTGATTTTTTAGTTGATGGCTAAATAATATTAAAATATATTAAATAATGACGATAAGAATTGATGGTTAACTAAATTGAGGCGATCCTGATGAAGTACAAATACGGACAATACCAATCGCTGTAGCCCCTGCAATGGAAAAGAGTCATATTAAAACATATTAATACATATTAAAACATATTAAAAGATATTAAAACAATGCCAAGCATTGCCAGGCCATCAAGTGCTGCATGTGTGCTAGTGATTGCTAGTGCAATCTATCGCATGCTGGCATGCAGCGCTAAGCAAGGCATTTTTCCGGCCCAAACTCCCCTGGTCCCTTGATCCACTGCGCGCCCATGGGGATGCTTCAGCGGTGCATTGTACCTTATCACAGCGCATACCTCGTCTGAACTCAGGTTGCACCTGAGGAACGCAGGGAGTCCATGCCGCCCTGGAAGCATAGTGTGTGCCACCACCGTGAACACAAGATCAGCTGGGGAAACACCTGCCATCGTTGCTGCTTCAGGCTGCACAAAGCCACTGGGCCAGTCTGCAGGTTTTGGGCAACGAACCCATGGGCAAACAATCCTGCAGAGCTGCACGTGAGCCAGTGGCACAACTTCTGGTGAGGATGTGAGCAGTGCCGTGTCTGTGAGGCACGACGGACCTTTCTGGCACCACTTTCAGCAGCCAGCGAATGAACAGGGCTTCAAAGAAGTCGCACCTGGACAGTGGATGACAGTGGGTTGCAACTAGCTTTAGACTCTCAAGATTGATGTCAACTCATGTCAACTCCACATGCATTTGCCAGCTCACCCCATGAGCCATGCAAGATTTCAACCAAAAATCTGCTCTGTGCAACTGTCATTCCATGTTTTTCCATGCCATTCCATAATCTGCTATGTTTTTTAATGATGTTGAACAATGTCGAACATAATTGAGCGATGCGAAAAGATGCGAAAAGAACGTGATCACGACATATATCGACATATCACGACACATCATGACATATCATGACATATCATGACATATCATGACATTATATGACTCATGATTCATGACCCACAGTGTTTCCACCAGATTCCACCAGCTTCCACACAAGGGCCACAGCAGCTTCTCATGTGCTTCCACAGACAAACAGCTAGGAGCTTTTCTGCCATCAGTACCAAAATCAGCGAAGCCACCAGGAACAGGCCATGGTAGTTCATTGCCAGCTGCGAAGTGCCTGAGAAGAGTAAGGTATGAGTCGGCATCTTGTGGGTGGTACTTCGTGATCCAGTTGGCTGGGGTATCAAAATACTTTCGTGCTTCGCAAAGTAAAGACTGCACGCACTGACATCCAACTAAAGCTGCCCAAGCTGGCCCCACATGAGCAACAGCAATCTGCTGCAGCGATTGCGCCAAAAAGACAAGGGCATTATGCTGAGGCTGGCAGGGTCCGATTGATGTGGTCAGAACGGATGGAAGGTCAAAGGATATAGGACGGAAGAAAATTGGAAATAATGACATATGGCAACATTGTTGAACTCCAATAATATCATCATATTCATCTAGACTGAAATATCCAACAATGACATCAGCAAAGCACAATTTCGGCTGATTGCCACAAACAGACAAAAATGTGACATGTCACACGTATTCAAACAATTTCAGGCATATCATGCAATATATTGCAATATCACAGAGTATCATGCGATATCATGCGCGCATACCTGTGTTCAGAACGTTTTTGGCTAATTTTGGCTAGCTTTGGCTGAGAAGTCATGAGAAGTCTCCATGGGCAACCTATGGGAACCCAACTTCAAGTCACGTTAAACATTTCGAACATGCACCATCATGCACCCGCACGATGCCGCATGGATCAGCAATGATCAGCATTGTAAACGTATGATAACATATGATGTAACAGTCGCGGGGGTGTCTAGATGAAATTAGACGAATTTACCTCTGCAATGCTGGAACTTAAGTAGTTGCGACTTTACATGAACGAATGATGAGTAATGATGAAAGCAAGGAATGGCAAGGAAACTGGCTTTGATTTTGACTTGTCATTGCAAGTCACTTTGAACACTTTGGATCGGTATTAGACTGAAAAAATGGTTGGCAAGGCTGCTTCCGTATTATGTAATCCTTTTGTAAACTGACATAAACTGACAACACAGTCCACGGCCGTACATGGCGGTACGACAGCTGAAGTGCCATACAGAGAAAGGTTTGGAACGCTCCCAGCAAGAAATAGGCAACACCATATAGCACAAAACCCCACCATGATTTGAACATATTTGAACCCTGGTTGTTTTACCATGTTTTACCATGTTTTACCATGATTTACCCCCTTCCCCCTCCACAATGTTACTTTGGGAAAGGATGGGAAGGGGATGGAGTTACCCGCGCTTATGGGTGCCACCCGTAAGAACGGGTAATTGTTTGGTAGAGCGGGTGGATTCAATTTTAAAGGAAAATCTATACATACGGCTGCCCTACCCGCGGCAGTGAATGCTTCCCCGCGCTTATGGGTGCCGTCCATAAGAGCGGGTAATCCTGGGGCGCCAGATGTGTCCATCCAGCAAGGATATGGACTGGATGTGTCCCCAGGATCACCCGCTCTTATGGACGGCACCCATAAGCGCGGGGGAGCATTCACTGCCGCGGGTAGGGCAGCCGTATGTATAGATTTTCCTTTAAAATTGAATCCACCCGCTCTACCAAACAATTACCCGTTCTTACGGGTGGCACCCATAAGCGCGGGTAACTCCATCCCCTTCCCATCCTTTCCCAAAGTAACATTGTGGAGGGGGGAGGGGGTAAATCATGGTAAAACATGGTAAAACATGGTAAAACAACCAGGGTTCAAATATGTTCAAATCATGGTGGGGTTTTGTGCTCCTTGTGGTTCTGGTGCCATGGTGACTGTCTGGGTTTCAGTTTTGGGGCTTCCATTCCAGTAGTGCTATAATGTGCTATATGGTGTTGCCTATTCTTGCTGGGAGCGTTCCAAACCTTTCTCTGTATGGCACTTCAGCTGTCGTACCGCCATGTACGGCCGTGGACTGTGTTGTCAGTTTATGTCAGTTTACAAAAGGATTACATAATACGGAAGCAGCCTTGCCAACCAGCTAAAAATCTCACCTCCCTTCACTCAACTCTACCTTTCGTTCATCCCTGGTTGCCTTCAAGTTTCCTGGGGTCTTTCATCCTGCCAGGGTGCAACATCACACGTGAGGATTCCAACAGTGTGGATACATGTGAACACACAATATATCACAATATCACATTGTTTGGCCAGCCTTGGAAACGTTAAACGCCGCCAGCAGCTTGCCAGGTGGATGCGTCTGAGTACCGGGCCTTTGCAGAGCATGTGCACGTGATGGATGTGAAAGGTCCTCCAGCTGAGGGCTACTACAAGCGGCTGAAGGAACTCGTGCTTGATCAGGCCAATTCCTCTGAAGTTGAAGTCATTCGCCTGGACCAAGTGACTTGTGACCTTTCTCCTGGTGACGGACGGTGGCGTTGGGTCACACGAGAAACGATCCTGCACAAGTTCGAGCTATGGTCGGCTGGTGGGGCAAACTGGGGACCAACAATCCAGCTCTGTGGATCAGCCCCTTATAGCATTTGCATTGGGCACCAGAGGATTGGGAGCGTCCACTGCTACATGCAATGGTGTTTCTTGGCGAAACATGGCGAAACCATAACAATATCCACCCAATGTGATGTGATTTTGGAATATTCACGGTCGCTTCACAGCGAAAACCGCCCGCATCAAGTGCAATAGATAACACTCACATATGTTGGAGGATGTTTGGCCATGTTTGGCATTTTTTTTAGCACTTATTGGGCACTTTTTAGCGGCTATCTTGGCCCCATATGAGGGTATGTTGGATCCATTTGAGGCTATGATCTTAAGCTCATGTTGGGCCTATGTTGAGCCTATCTTGACCCATTTTTGGCCTATAGTGGCCCAGATCAAGAATTTTGACCCCTTTTGAAAAACATGCAAAAACAGGGTTCCAGAGCAAAAATGCAACCCCCCAAGCCAAAGCTTATTAGCTATAATGCAATTGCTAACGGTTCACGCAGGCACACAAAAAAACGCCTCGGCACCTTCAGTGCGAGCGGATTTTGGATGATTTTGACATGTACCACTGAGCATGGCTTCTGTTCAGCCAGACATGAAATGATGCTGTCTCTATATGTCTCTATTCTAGTTTATGAGAAACCTTCCATGTCCAATGCATCCATGGGCGTGTCAGGCTACTTGACTCAGCGCACCCCTGCAGATTGGGCGAAAACCATGGCCAAGGCAATCCCTTGCAAGCTGGAGTCTTTGCAGCCAAAGCAGGCAGATACATACTACTACATACTACTACTACTACGACGACTACTACTACTACTACAACTACTACAACTACTACAACTACAACAACAACTACTACTACTACTACTACTCCTACTACTACTACTACTACTACTACTACTAACTACTACTAACTACTACTAACTACTACTAACTACTACTAACTACTACTAACTACTACTAACTACTACTAACTACTACTAACTACTACTAACTACTACTAACTACTACTAACTACTACTAACTACTACTAACTAACTACTAACTAACTACTAACTAACTACTAACTAACTACTAACTAACTACTAACTAACTACTAACTAACTACTAACTAACTACTAACTAACTACTAACTAACTACTAACTAACTACTAACTAACTACTAACTAACTACTACTAACTACTACTAACTACTACTAACTACTACTAACTACTACTAACTACTACTAACTACTACTAACTACTACTAACTACTACTATTACTACTATTACTACTATTACTACTATTACTACTTTTACTATTACTACTACTACTACTACTAATACTACTACTAATACTACTAATACTAATACTATTACTACTACATCATACTACTACATCATACTACTACATCATACTACTACTACTGCTGCTACTACTACTACTACTACTACTGCCTCTTGGTGATATATGGTGATATCAGACATGAACTTCTGGGATTTTTGGGGATTTTTTGAGATTTGAAAGGTAGCGGATCTATGCGGATCTAAACCTAACGAATCTACACCCCAAATTGCGAACAGTGAAATATGAAGCATTATCATGCATTATCAAGCATTATGAAGCAACGCCATGGGCCAAATGGGCCAAAGGAACCTAAGAGGCATGGCAGAAGGATGTTAGAGATGCGATAGGGCTACGTTAGAAGTACATGTAAAATCATGCATAACGGTAGAGGTGCGGTAGAGGTGCGGTAGAGGTACGGTAGAGGTACGGTAGAGTTTTCCTTCTCTACCGTACCTCTACCGTACCTTTACCGTACCTCTGCCAGCACCTGCGTCGTAGCTCTACAGTATACCCCTGCAATATGAAGCATTATCAAACATTATGAAGCCACGCCATGGGTCAAATGGGCCAAAGGAACTTAAGAGGCATGGCAGAAGGATGTTAGAGGTGCGATAGGGGTACGTTAGAAGATTTGTTAGAAGTACATGTATAATCATGTATACAATATGGAGAAGATTGGAGAATATTGGAGATAGAATCTTGAGTCTTGATTTTTGTTTGCCAACCTGAAGCACCAGGACGTCGTGGTAGTTGGAGCGCTGCACCCAGAACACTTGCACAGGCTCGGCATGGCATGGAACAGTATGACATGGTATGACATGGTATGACATGGGATGACTTCACCGAAATTTAATCAGCAGCCTCTCATTATGATATATTTTTCTGATGAAAACACGCAAAAAAACAAACACATGTTCATCGTAGGATCTTTTTGGTTCAAGACATTTCAACACATTTCAAGACTGGCTCATCGAAATGTCGAATTTTCTGCCTCCACTGGAACCGGAAGAAGAGTCTTGAATGCACCGAAGCGTTTTCAACATTTTTCAACAAGGCCATGGCTATGTCCCATTATGTTCCAACTACTGAATCTGCAAGCTGCAGTGCTGTCAGGCTCCGAGGGCATAGAAGGAAAATTATGGATGTCCATCCTGCAAAGAATATTAGATAGTATATGATATATTATGATATCATATTAGCATCAATCAGATGCATCAGGTGATCATGTAAGATTGTTTGACATTATATGTATCGCATATTGTAGGACAGCAATTCAACGCACTCCAATGACTGCAACACAGCAGATCGATCTGCCATCATTGTGGTTCGACTCAGTTCGACATGCCCCGGTCCCGATATGCTACCAACAAAGAGGCGGGATTGAAACGACCTGCCAGCAGCTACGCTCTGTTCTGCCGCTGGCTTGCCAAAGTTGGCGTTGATGTCAATCCCCGTAGAGTTAGGCATCGCATCAATGGGAAGAGGCATTGCAATTCTGCCAAGTCCGCGCAAGCGTTGTGGTAGCTCTGGAGCGTTTCAGAACCTTTATATCGACGTTTACGTTTTCCACCTATCTTTCCACTTCAAACCACCAATGTCATTGTATGATATTGTATGATGTTGTAATATGTTGTAATATGTTGTAATAAATTATGTGGACATGTAAAGACCTCTATGGCATTGTGTTGGGAGTGTCAAGATGTGTCAAGATATGTCAAGATAATTTCATGCTTTTCAGTCATGCAGTATCATCATGTATCATACACTTAGTTGCAAGGTTTCCGCTCCTTTACTGTAATTCTTCCTGGTGTTCCTTGTATCATCTTGTGTCAAACTGCACTTTTGACTTGCAAATGTGCTTCACGCCTAAGCCATGTGCACATTTTGAACATCGGCGCGCAAAAGTGTTCTGGCGCTGCTGTGTTTTCAATTGGTTTCACACTTTGGATTTGCAAATGTGCGTCCCACCATGTGCTTGGTGCCTAGGCCGCATGCACTTTTTGAACATCTCATCGTGCAAAAGTGTTCCAGGGATTTCCAGGGCTGGTGTGGCTTTGATTGTTTTTGCGTTTTTGACTTGCGACTGTGCTTCACGCCTAGGCCGCGTGCACTTTTTGCTTCCTGTCCTCCAGACATCCCCAGACAGCCCTCCAAATCCACCACTTTAGCGAGCCTACCTTCTGGACCCGCCAGAGCGCAAATGTGCTGTGAAACATATTGTTTCACGACTTCTAACATTTCGCTCAAGCGTATCTTCTCTCTTCTTATCTTCTCTCTTTTGATCTGTTCTCTTCTTATCTGCTGATCTTCTCCCTGGTGAGCGAGTATGATTTGTCCATAAGTCGGAAGTTTCACAGTTTCACCTCTAAACTTCCTTTGATCATATTTGATCATATCATATCACAGCATGTCGCAGTCACGCCTCCTAAAGACAAAGACAATTTAATTTGTCAGTATTTGTGGCAATGCAACATTCATGGTTACGAGGTTTCATGGGCTCACAACTGCAATCAACTGCAGGCAAAAACGGCCTGACCTTCGAAGCCACTTTGCCAAACTCGCCCAGCAAAATGTCCAAAAAAATGAAGAAGCCCGGAATGCCTTCCTTCAAGGAGTGCAAGCCCAGCCTGCAGTGATGACCCCATGCTCTAATGCTGAAAAGGCAAAGCCAGAAGCCAATGGCTTCCTTCTCAATGGAGTGCGTTTGCATATAAATACTGTGTTAGGGCAAGGCACCTATGGTGCGGTATGGAAGTGTACACTTGATGGGTTGGCTTTGGAGTTTGCTTTGAAGTTATACAAATGCAATCAAGCAGGGTATGCTTTGGTCGAGGCTGGCAAGGAGTTTCAATTTTTTCGGGACCTGCGCGGCTCTCCATTTGTATTGGATTGCTACGGAGCTGTCGCCAATAGCAATGGGAACACTGGCTTGCTTCTTCCATTGGCATCAATGTCTTTGGCGAATCTCCTTCAGAAAAAAGATCACCCAACACCAGCTATCCCAACTATTACCCAGTTGCTGTGTGGCCTAGTTCATTTGTGTGAGCGAGAAGTTCTGCATTGTGATTTGAAGCCATCCAATATATTGGCTATGCCTGATGGCCGCTTCGTGATCACTGACTTTGGCTTGGCCAAGCGGCTCCATGGTGGGCGTGTGACAACCCATGGGAATTTTTGTTACAGTATGCCTTACCGGCCTGTGGAGGCATTAGCTGCTGGAAAAGACCAGGCTGGCCCATGCCCATATCAAAAGCTTGTCCAGTTGAACAAACTTGAACATAGTTGCTTCTTGTGTCCCTGATTATCTATCTACAGCTATCTTATAAATTCTTATAATATATTATATTATATTATATTTTAATATCTTATACCCTTGTCTCGAACTATTTCAGGATTCATTGAGAGATCCTTGGACATGTGTTTGGTGATGTTGGGATTGAGATGGGTTGAGATTGTGCTTGTGTGATGATTGCAAATAATTTGGAAGCTTTATAGGGCTTCCATGTAGCGCCATGCAACAAATTGCAATAATATATGTTTATTATATATATAATTCCCTTTCGACATTTTATATTATGATTCAATGTGATTATATAATATTATATATGTTTATAATTATAACTGATTATATATATATAGATAATTAATGATGATTATAATGTTATATTTAATTATATGTTTGACATTTTATGACCATATTCAGAGAATGTCAGATATTCTCAAACCATCTCATACAATCTCATACATTCTCAGACTAAGCAAGATATTTGTAAGATCAGTTCGTGTCATTGCACCTGTATTGTATCATATTGTGGAAGGGTTCTGTACATCCCAGTGTGGTCAGACGATATGAGACGATTGCAGGTCATCCTGTCAGATTGCGCAGATGTCTGGATCTGGGCAAAGGAGTGCAAAAAATGGATAAAAAATGGGGCATCAGGCTGCGTTGGGTTTGATATGAATAGAATTGATTCGATACCTCTTGAAGACGCAAAGCCATGATAACTTGTATAGATCGATTTCGACTCAATGTATATCGATTGCCAATGTATATCAGATGTCAATTTTGAGGGAATGTTTTTGGAATATATCAACATATATCAAAATGTACCAACAAATCCATCATGATATATCATGATATCACGTGGCCTGCAAAGAGATTCAGTTGGTGCCTGCAAGTAAGTGAAAAACATCTTGGATAGCATCGCTTCCAGTCCCTCTTCATACCCTTTCAAACTTGTATAGATGTTTTTGTTTTTTTGTTTGGCTTGACTTTCTCACACACGTCCATACAATCCCATAATACCCCATATATTCCCTAGTGTTTTGGTTCTTTGTTTGCACTGTTTGATACATTTTGATACTGCGTGGCGCAAGTTGTGAAAGTTGTTCCACATTATACAACATTCACTTTACATTGACACACTCTATGAAATATGTTTCAGACGGACTCCTGATACCTCATGCAATATTATCATAATTTATCATATACTATTCAATCTGTAGCATTTGTTTGCATCTTGATGCAGCATGATGCAGCTACTATTAGCATCTATTAGCATCTATCAGCTGGAGGTCTGTTTGCCATTGTTTTCCCACGTTTTCTATTGTGTTTTCTGATTTCGGGCTTCTAGCATCTTCCAGCTGGCAATGGTTTGGGAAAGCCTGGCGGCAGGGAATGGGAGCGCAAAGATTTCTCACTGCGCTGGCAATTTTTTCATGCAGCTGGCTTTGGCAATGCCTTTGGATTGAAAGCATGATGCCTGATAGCTGGGCTTGCTCTGAGGGGCAACAGGCCAGGAGTACGAGAACTTGGGCTTTGGTTTCCTTCTCTGGCGGTTTGGCTTGATGTTGCTCAGGCAGTCTAAGGCATATTGATAGGATATAATCCTTTCTCTAATACTAAAAGGCACCCCTCTCCTAATAAATGAATGTAGAAGCCAGTTGGAATGTAGAGATTGGACATGGCATCAGGTATCATCAGGTAACCTATGAGGTTCAACACCGAGGTATCTGAATGATTCGTGCTGATTCCAATGGTTCCATGTGTATCGGCATATCAGTGGTTAGCTGTGTTGGCTAGGTAATATAATATATGAATATTTTTAGTGATTTATCCATATTTATTCTGCACAGCTTGGCCATGGCAGAGGATTTGCCGGATGCCTCCTTCGCTGAGCAGCAGGCGACCCTCTGGTGGGATTGTGGAATGGCATGGTTGGGTTGAGTCAAAATGGGTATTTCCATAAGGTTGGGGTATCCAACAATTCAGAAAAATGTCATTTTAAAGATAGAATAATATGGAAACATAGGTAAGCCATGGTAAACCATGATGATGATGATGATCGTGATGATGATGATGACGACGATGATGGTGATGATGCTGATGATGTTGTTGTTGATGATGATGATGCTGATGGGTGCAGTGATGATGGTGATGTTCGGTCGTCATGATGATGGTGATGTTCTTTGTGTTGTTGTTGAATTTTGTTATGTATGTAGTCATTTAATGTCATTTATCCAGCTCAAACTCGGCCCAGTTTCCTTTAGAATTTGTTTGGTTGCTTGTCGAAGCGGTTTTTAGCTTTGAGAATCTTTGAGAAGCATGCAGAGTTTTTGGCACCGCTCAGTTTTGGAGAGATCACCACCTGGTGCATCAAAGAAGGGTGTCTTCCTTTTCCTTTTTGGAATCCAAGTACTCAGCAATGGGATTTGAAAACCTATCAGTCGTTGATTTTGAAGCCTACTTTGGCCTCGATGATTCAGATTGTTCGGACCGTGTTTGCTAAAAGTCTTCAAGTTTTGGGCTTGGATCACTATTTACTTTAGAAACATCCAGAAGCATGAAGCCGGTGTGAAGTTGTCTGCAGATGGCATTGCCATTTGTACAAATCAAATTCATCTCAGCAACTTATTCTGATTCCGGGCATAGCTAAATGCAACCTAGGGACATGATTCAAACTTTGCAACAACTTCAAAACATGATGCATCTGAGCCGCTGTGCCATTGGGATTTGACACCTGGGGTAACTGCTGTCTGTCCTGGGGTGACTCGGTGTGCCTTGCGGTTGGGGTAACATGGGGTAACTACTGGGTAGATGGGGTAACCAAGGGCACCTGCTTGTAAAGCTTGCTATACCTAGTTTGAGGTGTTGAGAAACTTGGTGGATTCCACATGATTCCACTAAGTCCTTGATTTTCGGGACTCTTCAAAAGGGACAACAAAGAAATACAAAGAATACCTTGGGCTCCAGCTATGAAAGGCATTTAATATATTTCAATTTATTTTCATATATATTTTAATATATTTTAATATATTTTAATATATTTTAATATATTTTAATATCTACCTGGGATCCATGTCAGCCTGGCACCCAGCCTGCCCAACAGGCTGCTTCCTGGACCAGATGCTCCACAGCAACGTGTGAAGGCGTTTGCGGCAGAAGTTGACAGCGCTGCCTTGCCCTTGTTGCGTCTGTCTGCATAGGGCCATGTTTTTCTATGTTTTTCTTAGTCAATCTCACTCATCGAATAGCACCAGGGCAGCCAATGATGTGCCATGATACATCATGTATCACCATATATCACCATATTACATCATGATATTTCCAAACAGCTCAGATGCACGATCATGGCAGCTCATCAGTTTTTTAAATTTCCAAGATGGGCGTGGCAACAAGCTGCCCATGTGGGGACTCTTGGGGGGACTTTCCGAAGAAGGAAAAAAAGTTGAGCGAGATGAGACATGATCATGTTCCACTTGAGTGCAGGTCTTGGATTTTTACCTTGTTCATCCTTTTTACCATGGATTTCACTATAAGTTTCTGGATGCCGGAAGGATGATTTAGAGGGGGGGGACCCTGAAAAGAAATATTTTTTTTCACTAGGTCCTCCTAGCATAAATCTTGGGGATGTTCTAATGAGACTTCATAGGGATTTAATGGGACTCAATTGGGATTTACAGGGTTGAATTCTGATTAAATAGTTTTTAGTGTGATTTAAACCACATTTAACGGGATTTAACGGCCATATAAGGGAAGTTTATGATAAGATGTAATTCCATTCAACTAAAGTGAAACACCGGCAAATTTAGGACAATAGCATGGGGACCGAAGCTTCCGCCAGATCCAGTGAGGATTTTCCATCCACAGGTTACATGCGGACATGCGTGGCATCAATAAAACGGACCACGGAGGAATTTTTGAGGATGCAAGGGGGGTTCTTGACCCAGAAACAGCGGTGGATTTCAGCAACGAAACGCTGGCAGTGGGAGCTTATGACACTTGTGCTTGCAGGCCCTTTGCGAATTGTGATTATGTTTGATTCAACATGCCAAGCTGTTTTCTGGATATCAATCTGACTGGTGTTTTGATTCACTTGTCATGGAATGATTTGCTAGCTGCATTTTTAGCCAGTAAGTGGATCATATACCATTAAGCGAACAACAAACATACCAAAACAACCCAAAAGAACGATTTCCATCACGAAACCACCGATTTTTTTAACCTTAAAAACATCAGCACAACTGCCCCCGCCCAGCCGTCCCACCATGTTTTCACCTTCTCGCGGACGTCAGGATGGTCTTCTGCTTTGGTGGCATCTCCACAGCCTACAAGCGATGAGCTATGCTTCTGGGCTCGCATTTAATGGGTCCAGTTTCGCATGGTTTGTTGATGTTTTTACAGATCTTTTATGATCTTTTAATAGAGGAAGAAATGGAGGACAGAGTTCTTGCCAATATTATTTTGCATGGTCCATGTGCTTATTTTTCACTTTCGATAGAGGAAACAGTTAAGTGTAGAGTTTAGCCACCTTTCCGTACGAGTTGTATCACCCAAATGGATCCAAATGGTCCTAAATGTTGACCATAGGTCATACCTGAACACTCCTGGATGGTATTGGGGTATGGTCCGTTCATTTTGGGGACGACAGGATTGGATGCTTTACTCGGACGAACCACTTCAACTTGAAGGTCGTATTATAGGTCTTAATGTTTGACCCGTTCCAGTCCTACTTGTATTTTCTTTTGCCTTGTGCACATATACGAGATGTCAGGGAGGTTGTACTTATTTGCCGACTTCCACAATTCTTGGACCAACTTGATTGTCGAGACTTGTAAGCTTGGCATTGTTGCTACCAGGGCAGCAGCTCGATGCCCCAGCCCACTATCATGCTGTGTACAAACAAATTGACTGCAAAGGAGTTTCACTATCCTTGTAGATTATGTAGAACATGTAGGTATACAGATACAATATACACATCACATTATATTTATATATGGTGATCGATCTAAAGGTCCTTGTAAGGAGTTTTAATTGCGAAAGCCGTGCATGTTATGTTGGAAACCCTCGCGAAAGTTTTTTTCGAGTTCGCGAAAGTAATTTTTTTTCGCGAAAGTTTCGCGAAAGTTGGGTATTATAATCATTATATGTAAAGGGCTGCCACCCACTGCCGCCCGGGGTCCGGCAGGAGAAGGGCACCAGAGAATGCGAGTAGCAGTAGCCAAGTTTCCAAAAGTGAGGCTTTGCGAGAGCCAAACACCAAGGCCCCTGGTCTTCGCTTTTCCTTCAGTGCACCCCCTGCTGATGGCCGGGGTCTGTGAATAGGGATATTTTCGCGAAAGTTCCGCGAAAGTTATGCGAAAGAGCGGGCGAAAGTCAAAGTGCATGTTGAAGGGGGTGGGCCAGTAAACTTTGCAAAAAAAATCTGTCCTGAGAAGGGATTCCGTGATGCTAGCTGCATGTTTAAAAGGCTACCAAGAAGTGATCCGTGATTCTCTGGCGTAATTTGGCAGCTGGTGAACGAATCTTTATAAGAGGTGTTGTTGGCCAACATGGGCCCCGCGAAAGATAAACATGGAGTTCGCGAAAGTTTCGCGAAAGTAAAATTGTTGGTCGCGAAGAATGGCCGTTCCGGGATAAAGGAATTTTGATCAACAACCATATGTATACATGATTGTACATGAGTAATATCTGTTTTATAGTGTGTACTAGTTTCCATGCACATATAGGTAGATATAGATAGACAGGATAGGATTGGATTGGGTTAGAGTAGCAAAGACAAGATAATTTAGATAGATATGTGTTGGCATGTATTGACACATCCATATAAAATTACTATATTTAGATAGTACAGATGTGTATCAACTCTTCGGCCGTGGCTCTCCCAGCCATTGAACCGATGCAACCCAGGCATGTTCGTGAGGTGAATTGGTAGATCTCCAATTGGCCAGCTCGCTGCTGAGCATCGACTTCAGCCCCTGGCAGCAGAAATATGCGGTGCGGATGGACAGCCCTTGGGCCTTTGGGAAACCTGGAAACAGTGGTGGCACATGCTGAGCAAATGCTTACCCTGGGGTCAACTAACGTAGATGTGGAAAACTCCCGGTTTCCGAGGAAAATGGTCTACAAATGGTGGGTCCTCCACAGCTATGTTAGTGGAGGAGGGCAACATTGAAAAATCAAGGCTAGAAAGTTTGACGTATGTTGCCACCATGTTGCCCCCCAGTGGATTGAAGACTGCCTTTGCCGCTAGTTGTTGGTATGTTTTTCTGGGGTCCAGTGTCTACTTCATTTGTTTGATGTAAGTTATTGCTTATTGTTCAATTACTGCTTGAAATCAACTCTCAGTTTCATACCTGTTCATGAGATTTTTCAATATACCTGAGCCTCCAAGCATCCATTGGGTTTGTTCCCCCAATCTTTTTGGTACATTGTAGCCATTTCTACGGGTTGAGGGTCTAGGAGTCTAGGAGTCTAGGTCAAACTCGTTGCAGGACGTCTCCTTCAGACAGGCCATCCTGGTGGCCCTGCGGACGCTCCCTCCACCCGTGGGATCAGCTTCACCCAGCCAGGCGCTACGGCAGCAGGAGCCGAGGCAGTGGAGGACGACAAGGGCGCGGTGATCGCGGAGATTCTCAAGGCGACGGTGGTGGTGATGTGGGGGGCTGTTCGTGGTTGGAAATGAGTGGCCCAAAACTGATTCTGAAAGCTCCGTAGAAAACAGGATTGTTAAGTAGAGGTACTGACAGCGACATGAGCATGGCGTGGATTCATTGGAGTTGTTCTTGTTGTTCTGCTACCGAGGAGTGGACATAGAAACGGTCTCAGGGCATAGACTGAAGAATCTTTGGACACATTCCAAATCTGTTTGTTCCATCATCAGTGGGTGGGAGGGCCTGTCGACTTCTCACATCTCGCTTCTTTACTAAAGTTAAATCATGTCCTCCTTCAAGAAGTCTTTGTTTTTAACACATCAACATTTTTTAAAATATATAGGATCCAGAGATATCTAGAGTAAAACCCAATGGATTCCTACAAAATCCATATATTTTCCATGTCCTAGGTTTTTTTCCCCATTTTTTCCCCAACATCTCCCACGGGTTCGCCACGTCGTCGTGCCCATGCGCCGAGGCAACGGATCCCGCGTGTGGCCACGGTGCGATCGTAGGGCCTGCGGCTGTCGCTGCCGGCCACGGAGCAGTTCATTTGCTTGTCGCCCTCGCCGCTTGGCGCTGGGAAGTTGAGGGTTGAAACCCTGCTGGGATCATGCTGAATCATAATCGAGAAATTACTGCAATGTGTAAGTACACATCAGTACATTTCATCAATGTGTTCAGTTTGATTTTTAAACCATTACATGAATCGAATCCAAAACTCAGCCGTTTATTTCAAGCTTCGCCAGGAAGACGCTTCCAGCGCGGCTAAGCCTAGTTTTGGCCTGGTCAGCCATGCCATGGAGTACCATCAGTTTCTTGGGGCGATGGTGGGTGCATCTGCCGCTGATATCATGGGGATGTAAAATGAAAAGCAGTTCGATATTTTCTTGTTGATAAATAAGTGGTGTCAAAAACACAGGTGTGCGTTTGATTTGTGTAGTTGGCTTCTGGCCTATGGGTTTGCAATTGCAAAGGCGGCCACGACCAAACTTGGTTTGCAGTCTTTTCTGACTCCTGAACAGAAACCGTCTTCCGTGCACAGTTGACGTTGTGCTGGGCTGAAGTGCCTTGGTCTCTTGTCCACTGTGCGCCTTTGTGAGAGTTGTTGGTTTCTCAGGAAGTATCACCTTCCAGCGTTGGCCTTCACAATCAATCCTTGGTGAAATCCATTCAACAAAACATCCATCAGCATCAACCAAGGCTTGCCACCGGGACTGACTTCAACCTCAGCATCACATTGCACGACTTCTTCCTGTGTGTTCCGGTGTCGACCTCTTCAGTGGTTGCAACTCGGAGCCATTTCCAGCCTATATTTATCCCATTTATCATTGATAGGAATATATATACTAGGGACTTACAACTTTCCATGGATAAAGGGAACCATACAAGAAATATCAATAAATTGAAGTGGGCCCAAGCATTAACAAGGGATTTACTATTGAAAAATGGGAACAAGGATAGAAGGAACCAGTGATGTTATATACCCAAAGGCTATAACCATTCCCAATGACATGCCAGAAATGTGCTGCAAGTTTACGACCCCGACCCCCAAGTGCAGTGTGTGGCATTCGCTTTGCTGGAAAGTGGGTGGGGCATTATTGGGATACCGTATTATAAAATTACCAAAATTTCTGGGCACAGTTGCAAAAATCTGATATCTTTGGCTCTTTGGGAAATACTTTAGACATTCATAGGAGCAACATCGAACATGGACCTGGATATGGCATCTAACAGATGAGAACTGGTGGATTTGCCATGAGGGTACCAGCGAGGACCGCAAGCTCTGGACCGTCTTCGAGCCCGGAAGCCAACGAGGCATCCTGCGCCAAGAGTTGCGAGGAGAACTTGGATTGTTTGACCTCATTTCCAGGATATCATGGATGCTTCCCGGCAGCATGTTTGGATAGGTTTGGTTTGGGGATATGTTTATTTGCATTTTACGTTTAGATGATGCAAAGGTCACCATTTTTGTGGTGAAGAGATAGCCTTCGGGAAACAATCATGGTAGCCCTAAAATCCAGGCTATCAACAGATTTTTCAACCGTAGAATTTTCCCAACTCATCCAAGTTTTGCTAAATCCTTGTATATATTTTGTTTGTGCCTTCGAAACATCCCGATTGGCCCCATGTCCAATCGAGAGCCCGTTATTTGACCCAGGTTTTGAGGCTTGCAACGACCACAGCCACCACGAAGCAACTGCTGCCGCCAGTGGTATAGCCTTGGCGGCCGGGAATCGCACGCTGCGGGGGCAGCTGGCAGGATGCAGGTGCGACGTTGTCGCCGAAGGGCGGGGATGACAGGATGGGTATCACTATAGTTTAATGGGATTTACCTTTCTTTCTTTTTTCGGGGAAGCTGTTACGTAATTGTTTAGTCATGTGCAATTAATCATTGGTTGATCTCTGAGTTACTATACTAATGAAGTATCCGTGTTGGGATTGATACCAATCCAATACTCAGAGTGTCTACCCGCTGGGACAATTAGACGGGTATTTGGGATATTTTTTTTCTGTGTGCACGACATCTAAGATTGACCACGCTTGGAGGATGGCAGATTTGGCTAGAGTTTCATCTATTTTGCCATACGTTTGCTCATCAAATCCACCATGTGGGTTAGTCTGAAAATAGGCTACCCCAAGATCCAGTGGTTACTATAGTCATATTTCCCATTCAAGTATATTAAAATAGCTTATTTGGGTGTACACCCCATTTTCACACACATCCATGTCCTGTATGATACCAGCAGCACCAACGAATCCAGGTTGCTGACCCCCAACGTCTCCAATGGCATCGAATCCAGTGGTGCTTCCTGCACGGCACCGACGCTTGGTACGCTTTCTAGAGATCACGCTTCGGAGGGGCGGTGGTTTTATGTCAATGGGATACTCTTTGGTGAGGTTGATACCTGGGAAAATCATCTAAAAAAAATGCACCAAGCCATGCTTGATTACTGGGGGCTAGACACCGCACCAGATGAACTTTGAAACTGGTTGGTAACCATATATATTGTACTTGATTCACAGCAACCCCCAAAAAAGGTAGGAAACAATATACTAAAATGATGATAGTTTACTGTTCTATCTTTTTTGGGGTTTCTATATACATGATGAGCCTTTTATGGATTGCACTTAACCATTTACTAAGTGGGGGCTCCAGGGGTCCAACGCTCCATTAGAAGAACCATTGAGTGAACAATGGGCCGGCACAGAAATAGATCTAGAATACCTGCATGTAGCCGCGGACCACATAACTCATCCTTCTCCTGAGTTCAAGGCATCATTTGCTTCAGTCATTTTGGCATGATTGATCCAGATTGCTGCCAACCAACACCACGTAGAAGTCCAGTCTACCTAAGAAGTCTACTATAGTTTTGGATAGTGCGACTTGGCCAGTGCACATTGGATGATTGCCCCTGTACACAGTCCACAATGTAAAAGTTGGCTAGTGAAAGTGCAACTTGTTGGTCATTGTTTCCGGATGATTTGCGGTTTCATTTCCAAAATTGTTTGTTTCCAGTTTGAAACAACAGTAGTTCATTGAACTGGGTCCGGGAACATTTTCAGGAAAAGATGTTGTTCCTGGCAAGTATAAGCGGAGCCCCTCCAGAAATGCTTAGACAATCTTAGACATGTATATGAGGCGCCGTAAGGGGACTGATCCCATCGGATTGAACGAACTATTACTTCCGGTTTCAATCATACCAAACAAAGCCACTGTATATACATATGCATATACATATATATACGCATATATATATATATATATTATATATATTATATTATATATATATATCGCCCCTAATATCCCAATGATAACCCATCCCTGTGGGTTAAATGTCCTATTTTACCCCCAACAATCTAAGGTGATCATCCACAATGAAGCCAGTTGTAATCTATGAGACATGGAGATTCTCTAGGGTATGTCTAATGCTTACCCTGGGCTAAACGTACAATAACTCACATAGGTGTGGAACATTTCCATGATTTTCCTAGGAAAAGTGAGCGACAGTCATGGTGAGTTCCCCATACCTATGGTCCATGTTAGACCTGGATCCCGGCGCAGAATCACATCATTGACTTCGGTGTGGTGCGCCCCGACTGGCTCGGTGGCTTGGCTCCGAAAACTGGGTGAATTAAAGTTTTCCCACAGTTTTCCCACCTGACGCATGGAATCTTGACCTTCGGCAGGTTGCGAAAGTATGTAGAAGTCTCAACATGAAGCTAGCAGCTAGGGATGGGTAGTTCAGTGGCTCAAGCCAGGGGCACCCCAAGTGATGGATGATGAGATCCAAAATCACGTGCGATCGTTGAGAAACCCAGAAGCCAGTGATCGTGAAAAGAAGGAGGCTGCGAACAGTTTGGCAAATTTGGCAGTGAAAGACCAGAACAGGGCAGCCATCGCAGCTGCGGCTGGTATTCCTCCGCTGGTAGCACTGGTCACCCGTGGCAGCGATTCTGCCAAGGAAGAAGCTGCACGTGCTTTGGGAATCTTGGCGACGAATGACCAGAACAGGGCAGCCATCGCAGCTGCCGGTGGCATTCCTCCGCTGGTAGCACTGGTCACAAGTGGCAGCGACTCAGCGAAGAAAAATGCAGCACTTGCTTTGGGAAACTTGGCAAGGAATGACCAGAACGGGGCAGCCATCGCAGCTGCGGTTGGCATTCCTCCGCTGGTAGCAATGGTCACAAGTGGCAGCGATTCTGCCAAGGAATATGCTGCAGGTGCTTTGGGAAGCTTGGCATGGAATGGCCAGAACAAGGCAGCCATTGCAGCTGCGGGTGACATTCCTCCGCTGGTAGCACTGGTCACAAGTGGCAGCGATTCTGCCAAGGAAGATGCTGCATATGCTTTGAAAAACCTGGCAACGAATGACCAGAACAGGGCAGCCATCGCAGCTGCTGGTGGCATTCCTCCGCTGGTAGCACTGGTCACAAGTGGCAGCGATTCTGCCAAGGAATTTGCTGCACGTGCTTTGGGAAACTTGGCAAGGAATGACCAGAACAGGGCAGCCATCGCAGCTGCGGGTGGCATTCCTCCGCTGGTAACTCTGATCACAAGTGGTAGCGATTCTGCCAAGGAATATGCTGCAGGTGCTTTGGGAAGCTTGGCAAGGAATGACCAGAACGGGGCAGCCATCGCAGCTGCCGGTGGCATTCCTCCGCTGGTAGCACTGGTCACAAGTGGCAGAGATTCTGCCAAGGAAGATGCCGCAAAGGCTTTGAAAAACCTGGCAACGAATGACCAGAACAGGGCAGCCATCGCAGCTGCGGGTGGCATTCCTCCGCTGGTAGCACTGGTCACAAGTGGCAGCGATTCTGCCAAGGAAGAAGCTGCACGTGCTTTGGGAATCTTGGCAGTGAATGATCATAACAGGGCAGCCATCGCAGCTGCCGGTGGCCTTCCTCCGCTGGTAGCGCTTGTCACAAGTGGCAGCGATGCTGCACATGGTTTGGGAAACTTGGCAACGAATGACCAGAACAAGGCAGCCATCATGGCAGCCGGCGGAGTCCAAGCTCTTCAGGAGATTGCCAAAGATGGCAAGATGCTGGTGCACCGACAGGTGGCGCAGGAAGCTCTGAAGCATTTTCCCCGCGAGTCCGACTCTGCAGAAGGCGGCACCAAGCTTGGCAGCGATCCGGCGACAAAGCCGAGCACTATTGTCTCCGCGGAGAAGCTTCGGGGTGAGATGAGGACGCTGGAAGCTGGAAATGAAGAGCTGAAGGCCAAAGCAGCCGAGCAGCTCGGAACTTGGGCAGCCGTTTCGGATGAGAACAGGGTGGCCATCAGCAGAGGAGGTGGACCTGAGGCATTGGTGGCTTTACTGGTGACTGGCAGCGATGATGCCAAATGGCATGCTGCCAGGGCCTTACGAAATCTCGCAAACAATTGTGAGGCCAAGGACGTCATCCTGAAGGCCGGTGGGATTGCCACACTGGAGCCTGTTGTAAGGCACGGGAAAGGGAAGGTGAAAGAGGCTGCGGATGAGGCTTTGCGACTTCTGTCTCAAAAGCAGGAAGCCAAGTCCATCCAGGCTACAGGACAAGGAAAGATTGCAGAAGCAGGAGACACAATTCCAACTGGGGAAGGCACTCGGGTGGCCGTGTTTTCTGCCAGATTCGATGGAGGCCCGATTGAACAGATGCTCAGCTGGGGTGTGCCATTTTCAAGTTTTATTTCTTTTTTTTGTAGTTACAGGATGTTTCAGGTATTGTGTCAACCTCCAATCACATGGTAAGTCCATGGGATCAGTATTCCCCAGTTTGGTTTTGGCATCCGCTTTTGCGCCTGTGGAAAGCTTGAGTTTATGTTACCTGAGTGCCGTCTCTCTAAGGAAAATCCGCAAAGTGTTCCAGATTCTATGTGACCGAAAATATGATATCCTGATGGTGGCTGCAGATGCTGGCGAAAGCTTCGGGGATTTGACCACCGAATACCTGGGGCGGCTGCACAAAGAACATGGCACCATGATTGCTGTGTGTACCAAGCACTACGGCGAGATGACTGCTTCTGCTTATTCCTCCCACAAGGACAGGGTTCCTTACACTTTGATACACTTTGCATGTTAGGGTTGTTAAACATCGAGCTTTTGGTTGTGAAAGAGTGGTTGCCTCCACAACACAGTCATAATGTAAGAACTCCTGATCACCATGGTGTTAATTAGATTATTAGAATTGGCACCCCCATAATGAACTGGAGACTTGTTCACTATTTTAAATATAGAATATAATATGAATATATGGGAGCCCTGCAACACTGTATAAGGAGCTGAAGTTTGCCCTGGACTACGAGAAGTTTGTGAAAGTCTTGCCGCTCAGGGTGGATGACACGTACCCACCAGAGCCACCAGGTTGGTATTTGTCAAAGCCTAGCTGCCTGAGTGTTGAATGAAGCTTGTATTGCAACTACCAGGTTACTCTTAATAAGTGATGAAACCCATTACTTACTACATGTTACATTTTTTCTAGAAAAGCATGAGCATCCCCAGAACCAGCGGGTGAATAACTTTAGCTGCAGGGTTTGGGGAGTTGTTCAGGTGGGCCTGGTCACGTGTATGACAAAGGGTACCTTGCTCGAGGATATATTCTGAGTGTCTTCAAGCCGAGCGTTGTGTTCCTGGAATGCCGGGAAAATTCGGAAATAGAAATTGCTGCACAAATTGCCAATGTCCTCCAAAAGCACAAAGTGGCCAAGGACGGCTCAAGTTGACATTCGCAAGGATCAACCGTTTATCGCAGTTTCACTGTGGTTTACCTTTTGCTTTTTCCGAATCTCCAGAGGAGATAGAGGAGCATCGTTCACAACGGAAAAAGCATGTACCGCTGCATGCAGCTTGCGGTGGGTCAAACTGCCTGCACTGAACTGTCCACGCTTAGTAGACACGTGATTCTGTACACAAGTGTAATTATAGAACCGAAAACAGAATCATTTCAGTGGCTCTACATCATGCACAGTGTCTTTCCCATTGTTGTTTGTTACTCAGTATCCTATCCCTTGTTTGCCGCCGGCTTCAACTACGAAAGTTGCGGCAGAAATGCCAGGCAAAAAAAATGTTGGAGAGATTTGCCCTTGGTTGGTTTGGTTTTGAAAGGCAGTCACATGATTGTCCGGACAATTTGGGTATCTTCGGATGATAGTTTCCGCGCCTAGGTTTCGGGTGGATTCTGCCTGACATCAATCAACCATTGAAAGGCCTTGTCAGCCGCATTTCTGATGGTTCAAATTCCAGTTGAAAATTATAAAGGGACAACCACATCAACCAAATTTGGCACAGAATTTGGTGCCCAGTAAGGACCTAAGCCGGGCAAACAACTCTACCTGCGCTCATATCCCAGGTAACACGGCTCGCTTGGAGTTTCGCCTTATTCTGGAAGTGGGCGACCAAGAATTCCTTTCAGAGGTGCGGCAGGAAATTTGATTTTTACAGTAGATTTAGCAATGGATATTGATAGAACTATGTAACTAATGTTGGTTCCTGATTAGTGTGTGCCCCCCCCCCTCCCCTAAACTATTTCTGGACTCTCTTTAAAGTAGAAAAGCAAAAAATTTCTTCCCAAAAGAAAAACATATCCTCGATTAAGTAAGGATTTCAATTGGCTACAATTGAAATCTAATTACTATTGTTTTTTTTTGCCGATGAAGTTGTGGTATTTGTAGTACTTGTAGTACTTGTAGTACATGTAGTACTTGTAGTACTTGTAGTACTTGTAGTACTTGTAGTACTTGTAGTACATGTAGTACTTGTAGTACTTGCAGTACTTGCAGTACTTGTAGTACTTGTAGTACTTGTAGTACTTGTAGTACATGTAGTACTTGTAGTACTTGTAGTACTTGTAGTAATTGTAGTACTTGTGGTACTTGTAGTACTTGTATTACTTGTAGTACTTGTTGTACTTGTAGTACTTGTAGTACTTGTAGTACTTGTAGTACTTGCAGTACTTGCAGTACTTGTAGTACTTGTAGTACTTGTAGTACTTGTAGTACATGTAGTACTTGTAGTACTTGTAGTACTTGTAGTACTTGTAGTACTTGTAGTACTTGTAGTACTTGTAGTACTTGTAGTACTTGTAGTACTTGTAGTACTTGTAGTACTTGTAGTACTTGTAGTACTTGTAGTACTTGTAGTACTTGTGGTACTTGTAGTACTTGTGGTACTTGTAGTACTTGTAGTACATGTAGTACTTGTAGTACTTGTAGTACTTGTAGTACTTGTAGTAATTGTAGTACTTGTAGTACTTGTAGTACTTGTAGTACTTGTAGTACTTGTAGTACTTGTAGTACTTGTGGAAAAGCTGTTCTTTAATAAGGGTTTAATATCCTTTGGGAAAGGCTTGGAGTTTGAATTTGGCAATTTTGGAACAGGCTTGCTTCCCTTCTGGGCTTCCAGGGGCTGCTCTGGCACAGCTTGCTGCAATAGTGAACCCAGCAAACAAACCTACTAAAGTGAAATGGGGCCTCTACTGGTCCAGGGCCTTGGAAAATTGTGGAAAAGCTGTTCTTTAATAAGGGTTTAATACGGGATTGGTTCTTTTGGGAAAGGCTTGCAGTTTGAATTTGGCAATTTTGGAAATGGCTTGCTTCCCTTCTGCAGGGGCTGCTCTGGCACAGCTTGCTGCAATAGTGAACCCAGCAAACAAACCTACTAAAGTGAAATGGAGCCTCTCCTGGCCCAGGGCCTTGGAAAATTGTGGAAAAGCTGTTCTTTAATAAGGGTTTAATAAGGGATTGGCTCCTTTGGGACAGGCTTGGGGTTTGAATTTGGCAATTGCCTTTGGAAAAGGCTTGCTTCTCTTCTGGGCTTCCAGGGGCTGCTCTGGCACAGCTTGCTGCAATAGTGAACACAGCAAACAAACCTACTAAAGTGAAATGGGGCCTCTCCTGGTCCAGGGCCTTGGGAAATTGTGGAAAAGCTGTTCTTTAATAAGGGTTTAATAAGGGATTGGCTCCTTTGGGAAAGGCTTGGAGTTTGAATTTGGCAATTGCCTTTGGAAAAGGCTTGCTTCCTTTCTGGGCTTCCAGGGGCTGCTCTGGCACAGCTTGCTGCAATAGTGAACCCAGCAAACAAGCCTACTAAAGTGAAATGGAGCCTCTCCTGGTCCAGGGCCTTGGAAAATTGTGGAAAAGCTGTTCTTTAATAAGGGTTTAATAAGGGATTGGCTCCTTTGCGAAAGGCTTGGAGTTTGAATTTGGCAATTGCCTTTGGAAAAGGCTTGCTTCCCTTCTGGGCTTCCAGGGGCTGCTCTGGCACAGCTTGCTGCAATAGTGAACCCAGCAAACAAACCTACTAAAGTGAAATGGAGCCTCTCCTGGTCCAGGGCCTTGGAAAATTGTGGAAAAGCTGTTCTTTAATAAGGGTTTAATAAGGGATGGATTCTTTTGGGAAAGGCTTGGGGTTTGAATTTGGCAATTTTAGAAAAGGCTTGCTTCCCTTCTGGGCTGCCAGGGGCTGCTCTGGCACAGCTTGCTGCAATAGCGAACCCAGCAAACAAACCTACTAAAGTGAAATGGAGCCTCTCCTGGTCCAGGGCCTTGGAAAATTGTGGAAAAGCTGTTCTTTAATAAGGGTTTAATAAGGGATTGGCTCCTTTGGGAAAGGCTTGAAGTTTGAATTTGGCAATTGCCTTTGAAAAAGGCTTGCTTCTCTTCTGGGCTTCTAGGAGCTGCTCTGGCACAGCTTGCTGCAATAGTGAACCCAGCAAACAAACCTACTAAAGTGAAATGGAGCCTCTCCTGGCCCAGGGCCTTGGAAAATTGTGGAAAAGCTGTTCTTTAATAAGGGTTTAATAAGGGATTGGCTCCTTTTGGGAAAGGCTTGGAGTTTGAATTTGGCAATTGCCTTTGGAAAAGGCTTGCTTCCCTTCTGGGCTTCCAGGGGCTGCTCTGGCACAGCTTGCTGCAATAGTGAACCCAGCAAACAAGCCTACTAAAGTGAAATGGAGCCTCTCCTGGTCCAGGGCCTTGGAAAATTGTGGAAAAGCTGTTCTTTAATAAGGGTTTAATAAGGGATTGGTTCTTTTGGGAAAGGCTTGGAGTTTGAATTTGTCAATTTTGGCAAAGGCTTGCTTCCCTTCTGGGCTTCCAGGGGCTGCTCTGGCACAGCTTGCTGCAATAGTGAACCCAGCAAACAAACCTACTAAAGTGAAATGGAGCCTCTCCTGGTCCAGGGCCTTGGAAAATTGTGGAAAAGCTGTTCTTTAATAAGGGTTTAATAAGGGATTGGTTCTTTTGGGAAAGGCTTGGGGTTTGAATTTGGCAATTTTGGCAAAGGCTTGCTTCGCTTCTGGGCTTCCAGGAGCTGCTCTGGCACAGCTTGCTGCAATAGTGAACCCAGCAAACAAACCTACCTTGACTGAGCTACAGCGTTTTTGAGAAAAAAATGCCTCTCAGCAATTACAGTTTTTTTTTGCAAAAAAAAGGGCTCTCCCAATTTTGTTTTGCCACAAAAGCGAACCCTCCAAACAATACATGAGTTTCAGAATAATTTGGAAAAAATTGCCACAATAGCGACCCTAGGTACTAATCAGGACCCAACATTATGTAGTTAATTTATAATATATTATTGAAATTACATACACTCTCAGCACCCTCATCCTGTGATGAAAGTAATAAAATTATCCCAGGGGGTAGTTAACAGAACCTGTATAAATACATCTAAATATGCATAAAATAGGCATCATCATGTGTCCTTTATCGATGCATGTTTGGTCCACAGCTCACCGTTCAACTCACCATTCCCTGATCGCATCCGATATTGGGATGATGCTCGAAGTCATCATAGAACTGATTCCATATAATAAGATCATATAAACTATACGGTGTTGAAATGTTATATTCATTTTCAAACCATTTTGTAGCTCAAGGCTAATCATTCAATTGGTTTAATTTTGACAACAAGGGTTTGCCCCTATTCCCATGGTTGATGATTATTTGCCTCATCAAGCTCCTATTTCATGTGCAGGGAATACTATCCATGTCCAGACTTACCCCCCTAAAACACATATGAAATTGTTACATATCCCTTTGAACTATATCCCAATTCTATCTTCATTATAGTTGGTAAATCACCATAAATCCATGTAATTTGGCTGATCAACTCATTTAATTACTCCCAAAATTTGGTTCAAAAACATTTTTTCACATTTTTTTCCATATTTCTCTCCCTTCGCCATGGAAAAGCTCGCCCCCAACGTCTGCCGTCAGGTGGTGAACCTCGACTTCCGCCAGGGCCTCCCGATGCCCCTCAACGTGGTCACCCTGCTGCGCGACAGCTCCGGCGCCGTCAAGGGCTCCGGCGGTGCAGACGGCACCGCGGCCACGGTGGGTCAAGGAGTACGACCCACACGAGGCGGCGCAGGGCGGTGAGTTAAGCAACAAGAAATCGTGGTACAATGGGGGACGTTCACTAGGGGCATACTGGGGGGTATAGTGGGGTGTATACTGGGGGATAAAATGGGGATAGAAATGATATCAGCCATTATCAGGATATACTTGTATGAAGTATGCTTGATAGTATGGTTAAGTAGGTATTTGGGTCACTTAACGGGCAACGCTTGGGATCGCGAAGCATCCATTTCGACTGGTCACCCCAGTGCTGGCCATCTAGGAAACGGAGTTTTTAGTAGCTGGTTTATAAATGTTTTTAATGAGGATAGCTCCAAGGGTTAGCAACTGAGGATGGCGTCAATACATACTTGCAGGATCTTGGTTGTTTTTTGATATGAATGAGCATCCATTTGTAGCCGATATTTGGTCTGAACACCTAGTAACAAGGCTTGATCCACTACTGCATGGTATTTTATGCGACCAA